GTAGCTGAGAAATACAAACTTTTTGACCTGAGTTGTGGTCTCTGTTAAGCAGCATACTGAGACTCAGTGAGGGTTTATGAAGTTCCTCAAGGTCTTGACCTCCTCACTCTTGCTTGCTGATTTGGGAGCCCACCAGGAAAGGAATGCTGGTAGGTGTCAAACACCTTTTCCACCTGCAGCTTGAGGTGGGAGAGTTGTTGCAGTGGGGGAGGAGTCGAGTGCCAAGAGGCCACAGTTTAAAGTTTTCAGCCTGCCAGCCTTACTGGTACATTGGGTATCTGTGCGTATATTTTACTGGTCTCTGCCTTTGCAGAAGGTATCTGACTGCCACCTCTGGCTGTCTCTGTGTTTCCTTAAGGTGACTGGTTACCACTAGTACCCACTTTGTGTGCTTAATTCCTGTTTAACTTGAAGGTCTGAATGGAAGTTATATCTTCTAGTGGCTCCTCCAGATCCACATGGTGACAGTGTCACAGGTAGGATGCTGTAGGCTTGGAGCTCTGCTGATGACACCTATAAGGTCCAAGGGTGGCAGCGGATCTCTGCATCCTTGAGCAGAAGTGGAACAAGCAGTTGCAAGATAGTGTAGTTAAAGGAGCACAAGGAACCCCAGTCCCTGCCGTGAGGGACAGGTGTCAGACATGCTTGCTTCTCTCTCCACCTCAGGTATGCACACATACTGGAAGTTAAGGCTGGGTTTGCGTGAAGCTGCTTTTTCTCTTTTAAACTACACATTCTTCCAAAAGGGGTACTTACACAAAGCTACCACTGCCTTCACTTGAGTTATTTAACCAGATCATTTTTCTCCTGGAGGGATCTGTAAAGCAGCTTGGTTAGAATAATGGTGCTCATACCTTTGGGTCTCAGGACCCCTTTACATTCTTAAAAACTGAAGACCCAGAGAGCTTTTGTGTGGGCCATATCAGTATTTGTTATCTTGCAAATTATGTGCTAACAGCAACATTTTTAATGAAAAATTTCAAAGAAATGAGTGAGAAGACTAGCATTATTTGACATGTTTTACAAATCTCTTTAATGTCTGGCTTAGAAGACAGGGTGGATTCTCATATTTGCTGTTGCATTCATTCTGTTATAATGTTCTTTTGGTGATTGTATATGCAGGAAAACCACTTTTACCACAGATAGGGAGTTGGAAAAGGTAAGATTATTTTTAATAGCCATTCTAGGTAATTATGGACATTATTCTTTGATACTACACCAAAACTTCACAAGAGACACTTCTTAAAGTTTACTGCAATGTGAAATCCGAAACCCTGTCAGTAAACTGTTTGAACTTTGACTAAAATGTATTGGTCTCTCTCATACTTTGAGTGCATTTTGTAATATTATGTTAGTTGAGTTACCCACGTGTTCTAAATGTTTACATATCTCATGTGTTACCAAAAAATCCCATTTGTTCCTATTTCCCCTCATCTCATCAGAAAAGTCTTTAAGTATTTGGGAAGTTGAGCTCTTGGTTGCAGAAAAAAGTTATTTGAGATTCTATTTTTTGCACGAAAGCTTAGATTTTCTCCCTGACAACTACTACAAATTGTTTTTCTTGACGTGACAGGCTCACTTCACTCATTTTTGAGAAAAATCTGCCCCATACGCAGGTCTGAATAACAGTCACTCTGCTGGTCGTTCTCTCAAGTAAGTGGAGTAAGCGTCTGGTTCAGCTCAGTCCAGACCGCTGCACCTGAGGGCTTATCCCAGGACATCAGGAATGCTTGGTGTGCCCCTTCATCTTTCAGGATATTAAGATACGCTTTCAGGGGTTGAAGTTTAGTAAAGTTATGATTTTATTGCTTCATCAAGGGGTTCTTAAGTGAGACTGGCCTTTCAGGAGAAGCTGTGAGTGTGGACAGTGCCTGGTAGAAAGGCACCACACTGTTGGGAGATCGGGCCGAGGCGCTGCAGTTGTACCCACACTGTGTGCCAGTCATCAGTGCGAACCTCGGCACAGTGGAAAAGGCATCTAAGGTCTCGGTTATTTCGTGATCGCAGTGTTGACTTTATGGGTCACCTGATGGGGGACCCTTGGGGTCTGCGGATGACGCTTTGAGACCTGTGGAGGAGAAGGCTGACTGGAAGCAAAGCCAGCATGGAGCTCTAGTTCCTTCACTTACTGTGCTGCCCGTGGGACCTGAGTGAGGCCAGTGAGCCTCTCTAGGCTTGTTTCATCTGGGAAATGAAGACATGGGCCTCTGATGGACTGTCGTGGGGACTAAATGGGAGAACTAATGGAAGTGTCCCTTCCGTGGTGCATGGTAGACAGGAGGCGCTAGTAAAGGTTATTTTCCTTTCCTTCTGGGGACATTGTAAAGGATTCGGGGATGTGGCCAGTGGGGGGAGTGAGGTGGAGAGATGGAAAGGAAGGGTCAGTGTTGCCTTAGGAAGTGCCTGGAGCCCAGTGGAAAGGCCTCTTGGCTCTTCTTTCCCACGTATACTGTCTGGAAGAAGGGGGAGAGGAATGGAAAAGGAAGAGCAGATCTTCTTGGGGCTGTTTGGGTGGCGTGCCTCACTTTCTCTAGACCCATCAGCCATCTGTCTGTGACCCAGTGTGGTTTCAGCTAAAAGGCAATCTCTGAGAACTAGCAGTGGCTCCTGATTGCCCTCCTCTTCCTGGCATCAGGGCTCTTTACAGATTATCCCGGTTCTGCCCCAGAGCTCTCCATGGTTGAGGAGTAGGCGCCTTTCAGGGTGGGGAAAACAGTCTCATCGAGGTGAGGCCTTTTTGCTGCTAGAGCTGTGCCCTGCTGAAAATCTAAGTGCAGTCTAGGGCAAAGTTCTCTTCTTTCCCATACTAAAAATACAAGAGCATGATGTCACAGCCAAGTAAGATGTGAAACTCTGAAAACACAGTTTACTGTAATTTTTTAAATTAACATTAATAGTAATTAATCTGTGACTTAATTCCAGAAAATGTTGACAGTCCCTGTCCAAGAAAGATCACCGTGCATGTGAGGACATGGGCTCTTCAGTTTATCATGTGTCTCTTCCTCACTGTGGTCTTGGGGGTGAAAAAAGCTTATTGGGAACTTAGCTTGCAAAAGAGGGGTCTGTGGTTTTGACCTGCTTTCTGGTCTAATTTCCATGAGGTTAAGTGTCAAGCCCAGGTGTGTAATGATGTCCCAGGTCCGTCCACAGGAGAGCTCTTGCCAGTTCAGTGATGCCAGAGGAAGCATTCCAGGCCCAAAGCCGCCAGCAAGGACTGCTTTTCAGGAGTGAACCGCGCCTTCATACATGCAAGAGTAAAATCGCAAGGACCGTGGCCCTGTGTTTTAAGTGAAGTTTGTTCTCTCTGCTGATGGTCACACTTTGGATTTTGGGTTCTAAGACTGGTCATCCTTATTTTGGTAATCTTTATTGGTAGCTATTCTTGATGTCATGTGTACAAGACCTGAATTTTAAAAAGATTTGCACATTTCTTGATCTTTGTCCTGAAGATGCTTCCCAGTGAGCCCCCTGTAGCTCCGAGCACTCGAATCGGCCGTGCGGGCAGCAGAGCTGCCTGGGGGCGCATCCCGAAGCATCTGAGTCTGACGTGCTGGTAGATTTTAGCAGACTCCCCTGTCCTCAAGACAGAAAGGGCTTCTATCCCCAAGGCAAATGGGGGTATTTGTATTTCTGTCCCCCACTGTATGACGGTGGTGCAGGATGGGAACCACTGGAGTGGCCGTCGTGGCAGAAGGGGTGCTGGACTGCACTTGGCTCTTCCTGAAATTTTGCTGCTTCCTAACGTTGTGACCTTGAGCAAGTCACTTCCCATTTGTCGAGCCTACAAAAAAGATTCTTTACTTGTAAACTAGGGCTTAGGACACATGCCCTTGATCTGTTGCAGGGGGCTGCCAGTTGTGAGCTTTAGAAGAAGCCCTAAGTGGGTTTGAGAGGAAGAGCGCACTGACGAGTGCCCAGCAGAAATGGTGCTGGTGGAGGGCGGACTTGCGTTGCCAGAGGACGAGGCGGCAGTCCCTGTGGCAGTGAGCCTTGGCTCTCCGGTCCCACAGCTTGCCCTCCGAGTGTCCGCTCTTACATGGTGTGACCTCAGCCAAGTTAGGTCGCTTTTTTGTGCCTCGGTGTTTTCGTCTGAAAACAGGCGTCAGAGTAACCTTTGCGGTAGCAGTGACCACTGAAGGGTCAGAGGGTACAATAGAGCCCAGGGCACAGAGCCCGGATTTTGGCACAGGCAGATGGGTTAGTTCTTACCACAGTTGGGGCAACAGTATGCATTTCCTTCATGGGAAAAAAGTTATGTTTCAGGAAATTTATCCAGAAGGCTGGTTTAGCCAAAGCCTTGTGGCAAATACCATATTTTCAAGTAGCTGTCATGAAATGGGCAGGTCCTCACGAAGCCAGTCAGAGCCTCCCTCAGTGCCATGTTTGTGTGGGATTCCTCTAGGTTCTTAGGGACAAAAGGTGAGTGTAAGCTGGTGGTGGTTTCTCCATGCTGACTATGCTGGTGGTGAAAACTCTATCATTTCTACTGGCAAAATGGTATTTCAAGCATTACCTTGATTACCTTGATGTGGGAAATGGAAAAGAAAGATGCTAGAACAGTCCCTAAACATTGGGATTATTCTGTTTAAGTTCCTGAAGAGATCATTTGGGCATATTTTCTTTCAACAAAACAGGCATGTGGTGTTTCTACCTGGTTTCTGTGTTCTGTGAGGCCTGTGGCAGATGTTTGTGTCAGGTGGGAGGTGGTGAAAGATTCCAGGACAAGAACTCAGAAGACCTGGTCCTGAGCCTAGTCCCAGCTCTCTACGACCTGCTGTTTGATCTTGGGCAAGTCCCTAACTTTTCCGGTCCTCAGGCTTGAGACCCGCAGAGTGGAGAAGGTGGTGGTCATCCTGACCCACTCACTTCATGGGGGAGTCACAAGGCTCAGGGGAGGAGCCCTGGTCAACTGTTCTACAACCAAAATACAAGTACTAATGTAACAAATGGCTGCTGGTAACCAAGCTCTGACCCTCCTAATGAAATATTTTCTTTCTCAGTGATGTTACAGCCTTTCGATTATGATCCCAATGAGAAAAGTAAACACAAGTTTATGGTTCAGTCTATGTTTGCTCCACCTGACACTTCTGATATGGAAGCAGTAGTAAGTACTGAATGCTTCTTATTTTTCTCAGTAATTATAAATGATTAGGTACAGAACTGGGGGGTGCATGCATTTCACAGTGTGTCAGAATTATTTTTAAAGGGGAGTGGTATTTTCAAGGAGGTTTGTACTTCGCCTATATGGTTTTTCCAAAACTTTGATTTTAACATTCTATGTAATTTTTCAGAATACTCTTCTTTTCTGACTTGTATATATCAATTTGCTTTAGCAGTTCCTTGATGGATTATATATTGAATGGTTTGAGAGTTCTGTCCCTTTATGCCCCTTCCCAGGCCCCACACAAATTACACTCTTTGTTGTATGGAATTTTTCTTACCGTGTCTTTCCCCATCTCCCTAGAACCCAGGGGGATGTGAGAGGGTCAAATGCTAAATATCCTTTAACCCTCATGGTTTATTGTTCTTGGCTTGGTTCTGGTAAGCATGATGCCCACCCCCTTCCCCACGCCCTCAGCTTAAGTACATGTTTAATTCCATCTCTGATTTTGGTAAAAATATGATGACTTCCTGTTCGTAAATAAATAAGTGATATTACTGATTTTTCTGGGAAAATATTATTATGGAAATTCCTCCCAAAGTAAGCATTTTACATATTTGAATAAATGAGCAGACGTTCTGGTGCTGTGTGAATCATAATGTTCAGATAAACCTCACAATCCACAGCATCAGGGAGGACAGACTGCCTAGTCCTCCCAGTTTGGGAAAGAAGGGCAGGACTGCCTCAGCATTTTCCTCACTTTCCAGCTTGCCAACCCAAACTAAGAGACTAAAATCAGCCAAGGAGCGCGGGCCCAGTTGAGTTAGCTGCGACTCACTATGGTTTTCCTCTTTCTGCGTTTTGTCCTAAAGTCTTTATCATGCACGGTCTACCTTTGTGTCCCTGTGTCAACACATGGCCTTTTCTTTTAGTCCTGGAAAAGCATAACTAAGCATCTCTGTGGATGTTTAACTTTGGGGCAGGAAATGAAGGCTAGGCCAGGTATTTGGGAGTTTGGGGGAGATCAGTTAATAGGCTATCTTCCTTTTAATAAGAATGATCATTGAGGCATTCACTACATTCTCTCTTATTTCCTGGAATATGGCTTGTTATTTCATGTTAATTTGTGTAATCAAGGAAATGTATGGCAAATACACAGTGTGGCACATCCAGGATAATGTCCTGTTCGGCTTTTGCTGCATGGCTTAGTGAAGAGCATGGGCCTGGGCGCGCTGGGCGCAAAGCTGATCACTCCTGCTGCTAACACGTGGTCTTGGGCAGTTTTCATTAACTCTCACGAGGGTCTGGTCACCTGTAACGTGGGGATAAAAACTTGGTCACGCAGTCGTTGTGAGGTTGAATGTGCCATGTGTGGAGAGCATCCTGGCACAGTGTCGGCAGTTATCTGAGTACTGTATAGGCCAGGCACTCTGCATACAGTAAAGGTAAATTTACTTCCTTTTATGGTAATTTTTATAACAGCTAAAAAAAGTGTATGAAATGTACATTAAAGGAAATTTTGGAAATACATAAATGAACAAAAATAAGACTGAAAGTGACCTGTAATTTGTTTATACTAGACCTAACTATTGTTAATGAGAACTTTGTGCTTTTTCTTTATTTTAAAATAAATTTTTTATTTTGATACATGGAAAGTTGAGACAATCATACAGCGACTTCTTATATAACCCTTACCTAGATTCACCAGTTAGCATTGCACCATATTTGCTTCATTTCTATCATAAACTTTCTTTTTTGCTGAAGCACTTGATTGTAAGATTCAGAGTTTATGACAACTTCACCCCTAAACACTTAGAACAAGGACAATCTCTTACATAGCCACAAGGCTATTATCACAGCTGAGAAAGTTAACGTTAACTCAATAATATTACCTAAATTTAGCATTTTCCAGTTTTTCTAGAGTAGCCCTGTATTGTCCCTACGGTAGGCAGGGTGCCCTCCTCCCGTTTCTGTTTTCCGTGACTTTGAATGTTTCAGAGTCCCGGCCAGTTGACTTACAAAATGTCCCACATTCCGGATTTACCCAATTACTTCCTTACCATTAATTTCAGGTTAAATGTTTTTTTGACAAGAGTATTCCGTAAGTGATGTCATGTGTGTATCATAGTAGGAAACACTTACTGCTGGTTGTCCCTGTACCGATGCAGTGTACTTGGGTAAGCGTCGTGACTGCCGGGTCGCTCCAGCGCCACAGCACATCCGCCCTGCATGGTGAATGGTGATCTGCGACCCTCTGAGTAGCTGGATGCTTGCAGGCCATGTGGGGGTCCTGCTGTCCAGCAGTCTTTCACCCAGGGGTTCTAACTTCCAGGGATGAGCCTTCCTTGGTGCTCATCTGACACATGTGCACGCACATGTACACTCTTGCATCTGTTCAGAGGAACAGACTTAAGATACTGTTTGTGACTTTTCACTCAATATTCTGTGCACTTTCCCCATGTAATCACATAGTCTTCAGCATCAATTGAATGGCATGCTTCTCTGCTGACTGGGTCTGCCATCTTTATTTGGCAGCCTCCTAATGTCTGACATACAGATTGTTGACCATTTTTGGCTCTTGGTACCCGGGTTTTTCTAGCTGCCTCCTGCATGTTCCTGGGGCAGGGGTGGGAGATCTTGTTTCTCTGTGTCTAAGCTTCCTGCTATGCTGGCCCACAATTCTCGGAAGGCCGTGGAGTCTCTGTTCTTCGCTGCCCAAACAAGGAGTAAACCAGGACGCCAAGTGCATTATCCTAGAATAAGGACTTAGCAGGAAGATGTCCCCGCCAGCAGGCCAGAGGGAGTGGGGGGGTCAGTGCATCACAGAAAACAACCTGCTGGGTAATGTGCCTGTTGGTAGTGGGCAGTGTGGTTCTGCAGCCACTCGTATCATGTGTGCCCACCCTCTCTGAGAAGGCTGTGCCCTGTGAAGTAAGGCACATTTTTTTTCATAAGGAGAGCCAGAGATACCTTTGGCCATCCAGACATAATTTGGAAGATTACTCTTTGTTCAGCGGTGGTCTTCTCTGTCCACATGCTTCCTGTAGACTGGTACCAGCAGGAGCCTTGGCTGACTGAGAAGTCACGCAGCAGGACTGGGATTTGTGAAGTGTAATAAATATTCAGGAAAGCTGGTGTATTCAATCTTGTCATGTTAAAAATACTGAAATCTCAGCAGACTTAAGTTCTTTATTTGATATATGTCAGGGCTTTCTCATTAAGAGTATTTTTCTGAAATTGTCAGTTATAGGAAGAAAATTATTCTTCCAGCAGCTTTATAATATCCTGATTATTAAATTTAAATTGTTTTAGTGGAAGGAGGCAAAACCAGAAGACCTTATGGATTCAAAACTTAGATGTGTGTTTGAATTGCCAGCAGAAAATGATAAACCAGTAAGTATATTTATAGTTAACAATAACTGAATGTTGCAAGCTGATACTTATTTCCATACTATCTCCTGCAAAACCAAGATTTAAGTTGGCAAATTATTTTCCTTTTTCTGATGTATGAAGCAAAAAATAGGCTGAAGTCAACAAATAAGTGAGACTTCATGAAATCAGCCTTGGAAAGCCTTACAGAAAGACAACTAATTGAAACAATTTTTTCCCTAGAGAAGTGCAACCTGTTGGTTATTGAAATGTCATCAATCCCAGTTGGCAAAGTTACAGGTTACTGTCAAACAGTGGGTAAGACTAAAATGGAATAATTTGCCGTTTATCATGGTGCTTGACAGACAGGTGGTAGCTCTCAGGGTCTGTTGTCTTACAGAAGTGCTGCCTCTGGGTTTCCAGGTCTGCTGTCCACTCAACACCACCTCTCTATCGCCTTAACCCCACCTGCCTCTTCAGTCAACATCTGCTTTCAGACCAGGATTCCTCAACCTTAGTACCATTAACATTTGCACCCATTGTTCTCTTCTGTGGGGATTGTCCAGTGCCTTACGGGATGTTTAGCAGCACCCCTGGCCTCTACCCACTATATACTAGCAGTACCCCATAGTAGTGACAACCAAAAATGTCTCCAGACACTGCCAACGTGCCTTTGGAAACCAGCCCCTGTGCTGCCTGAGGGAATGAGGGGAACGGTCAGCTTCCTCCACACTGTCAGCTCAGCTTTCTCTGTGTGTAAGCCTGTTATGGTCCTTGGTGTAACCAGTTGGAGAGAAGACTACCAGAAATGCTAATTTAGACTTCCCTTCAACCTAATCAGAAAAACTTAAATTGTATAAAAAATGCAACTTAAAACACATGCAGGATATTGAACTACCCTGGCTATCAACAGCTGGAGTTGCAGAATAGAAGCCCTGTAAAATCTGTAGACATCATCTGTAACGATCTTCAGGAGTGTTTTGATTTGTGTCAAACTATCAAGTCTTTTCTTTCTGCTCAATAATTGACCACCATCATTGGGGAGTGGTCTTTTTTTCCCCCCCCTCTTCCCATTGTGTATTATGTTCTGGGATGGTCAGTTTTGGAAATTGTAAGGTCTGTCATCTTGTCCTCGCCCTGTCGGTCGTTACCTTTGTAGGCTGGGGCCTTGCCTCTCAGGGCCTCACACTTCCCATCTGGAAAATGAAGCTAGAGCTGGACAGTTGGATAGGTACAGCTAGTAGTTTTCAGTTTGCATGGTACCCCCGGGACAAAGAGCCCCAGTTATTTTTCCCAACATGCCCGAGTGCTTCCATGCCCTCCCCTGACCTACTGACTCATCCCCAGGCAGTCTCAGGAGGGATACCTCAGGAGGGTATCACAGCACAGCCTTGGGCAGGGGGAGTGGGGGGAATGTATAGCTTCTCCAGATTTAAGCGCTGCAAACTTTGAGCTTGTTTCACCTTCATCCCAGCTTGGACTTGCTAATAAGTCATGAAATAAACTGCCCTCTGTACAACGTCCTCCTTGGTCTCCCCCCATCCCCAGCCTGTCCAGGGGGTGTTCAGATCTTCGTGGTGACAGTAATTTGTGGCTAATAATTCCTGATCTTGCACAATTACAGTGTGCTAATTTTTGCATGGCAGGAATTTGATAGTGCAATATGCACAGCCCCTTTTTTTTTATTTGAAGTATCAGCCTCAGCTGAACTCCATTATTTGCCCTTATCCTTAATTTCTAAGGCCCAGTTGCTTTAGATTATGAAGATATGAGATAAAGTGATTCATTTTTAAAATAAATGTGACATTATACAGTGTGGATGAAACGCTGTCACGTGTGGTGTTTGCTGAGAACTACTTTGCATAAAAAAGACCTTTATTATATAGTTGGTGACACCTGGGCTTTCATTTATTTCTGAACAGCATGATGTAGAAATAAATAAAATTATATCCACAACTGCATCAAAAACAGAAACACCAACAGTGTCTAAATCTCTGAGTTCTTCTTTGGATGACACCGAAGTTAAGAAGGTGATGGAAGAATGTAAGAGGCTGCAGAGCGAAGTTCAGAGGCTGCGAGAGGAGAACAAGCAATTCAAGGTGACGTTTTATTTCCTGATGATCTACAGAGAGCAGGAGTTTTTTTACTTGATCTTGGGCGGGGAAGTTGATGAAGTCTTGAATTTGTAGAGTTCTGTATTTGCACATTTTCCCCCAGGGATGTATTTCCGTAGCTTTCACCTGCTTTTCAAACTGGTTCTTGAAATCCACCACTCTGTGCCCCAAAGGAAGAACCAGTATCTCTTGAGCAGAAGTTTCTCAGCTGTTTAAATTCTTGTCCCCTTATAAGAACAAACAAAAACCCTTCCCACCCTCCACTAGTGTACATAGAAAGGAAACTCTGAGATTAAAAATAAAACAACAACAGTTACTGTTCACATTTTTTAACCCTATTCCATCTCCATTCGATGATAATCTCTTTTTTAAGGATAAATACTGACCTGTAATTCTGTTTTTAACACAGGCGTAATTCTGATTTTTGAAGATTCTAAATAGGTCTGGGCAATAGAGGCTCATCAGACTGTTGCCATGGTGATGAGATTGGAAATGGCAAGTTGTCACAGTGGATTGGGGGAGATTGTGGAAGGAGAAACCCAAGCCCCCTGTTTGTGGACGTTGATGAGGTGGCTGGCATTGGCACTGGAGGGTCAACTTGCCCTGGGTTGTGCAGGGAGGCAGAGTGTACCTCTTTTGGGCTTGGAGGCTTGTGGTGGTGTAGAGATGACTAATCAGTCCTAAACAAACTCTGAATCTTTGTTAGAGCATTTCCCGGGCCTCTGTTCACAAAACACCTCTAAGGCCCCTTGGAGCTTTAAAAGTACATCTGTTTTAGACATGGTATTGAAGAGAGACCATTTCTGAACATCTGATCATAGGAACTTGTGTTCAGCTTAAATTTTGAGGCTGATCTGTTCCCTTCATCTTGATCATGCCACCCAACCATGTGATAGGGTTTTCACTGTTTACCACTGCGCCAGGTACGCGGAACAGATTCATCTCACTTGGCTTTTCCCTTCCCTTTCTCCTGACAAGTTAGTAGATACAGGAGAACTGACAGTGTTTAGGAAATGGCATCATCATCATTCTCTGCAGTAATCTTGATTTCCTCATTCAGTAACTTCTTTTACTATGGAGTAAATTATGAAGCTGACACTTTACTTTTTGGCTAAAAATCTAAGATATGCCTAAAGCTTCTCCGTAAGTGTATTTCTCTTCAGAAACAGAGTTCTGAGCAGTTTAAAGTGATAAATAGGCAGAAATAGCTTCTGTAGAAACCCAATAAAATAAATGCTGCTTTGCTGTGCCCATTTTTTTTAAGTTAATCGAATAATACCAGCCATTTATCACTGTGCAGTGATATTGGCCGTGCCCCATGAGCAGAGTTATCTTTAAAATATTATCAGACCAATCTTGACATTAGAAGATTCTTTATCCTGCCAAACACAGATTCTTTGTTTGGTGGTGTTTCATTCTTACATTTGGCCAACACATTTCCTGAGGCCCTACCCTGTACCCGGCACTGTGGATACAAACACCAGCAGTCCCTGCTCTGTTGCCTGGGGCGTGGGGGGAAATGCAGACACAAACACTACTGGTGTGATGAGTGATCCCATGGAGCGTCATGGAGAGTCAGCTCGGTGGACCGGCTAGCTGCCTGTGGATGCCAGGACCTCCGAGGCACTTGGTGAATGTGAAGGAATTGAAGGAAAAGAAAAAAATGCAGCTAGTGGGAGGGGGCTCAGAGACAGTAGGCAGAGGAATTAGCCAGACATCTCGTTGCCGGGTGTGTCTGGGCCTTGCCGCATGCTCTGTTCAGGAATGTCAGCCTGGCCTTGGGGGCAGTGAAAGAAAAAGTTTATCTTCCTTGCACATCTGTGTAGTTGGGTGAAAAATGTGGCCAGGGATCTTTATATATATGAAAAACAGTGTTCCTTCATTAGAGGGAATTCCCTGCATTAGGTAGAAAATATTTGAGATGCCTGTATCAAGTTCATTCACATTTTAATTTTTCAAATACCACATTTTTGACCCAGCAGTCTGTATGTAACTCTATCAAATAGCAACTATGTACAGAGGTCAACATTTGAAAGTTTCCAGGTCCCCCCCTTTGTAGTTTCTTGTGACTTTTGTATTTGTGCCTTCGGAAGTGCCTGTCATTTCAGAAGCCGGTGACTTGGTTAGGGTTGGGGTCAGGTGCAGAAGAGGAGTGGCTGGGAGGCGTGAGCTGGCCCGGGGCTCAAGGAGTGTGTGTGGCTGGCCCTCCGAGGAGCATATCGTGGGTGACCAGGGAGTGCCCTGCTTAGATGTGTGGCATAAACCTAGCAGCAGCATGTAGGTCAGAAGAAAAGGGAGGCTTCTGGCAATGTTTTGCCAGTTGTCACAAGACCAGTCCCTTTTCTCAGTTTCTCCATTTGCAAAATGAGGTTAGACCGGTCACATGCTGTGGTCCGTGTCTGGGCATGAAATCCCTCCCTGCTGCACAGTGGACTTCTGCTTCTGGTGCCCTGGACTGTCTTTGAAATGTCTGTTTGCTCCTGTAGGAAGAAGATGGGCTTCGGATGAGGAAGGCAGCGCAGAGCAACAGTCCGGGTCCCGTGTCGGCCGCGGCTGGGAGGGAGGAGGGCCTCAGCACCCGGCTCCTCGCACTGGTGGTTTTGTTCTTCATCGTCGGTGTGATCATAGGGAAGATTGCTTTGTAGAAGCAGCATGCAGAGGATGGCCAAAGGATTCGTGGATCCGTATATCATGAGATTTACATTTATCATAACCATGTGTAAAAAGAAATTAATGTATGATGACATCTCACAGGTCCTGCCTTTAAATTCCCCCCACTCTGTGCGTGCGCGTACACACACACACACACACACACACACCTGTAACATAATATAACAATCTTTTAGAAGTCAAAAATGTATAGTAAATGATTGGGGGAAATAATGATCCTTATTAATGATGAGGGAAACCATGATGGAACAACAGTGGCGTATTGCAAATGTCATTTCAAACACTTGTAGCCTTGGCACATGCTGCTGAGTTAACTCTCTGGAAACAAGACCCTCTTCCTTGCCTGTTGGTGCCCAGGCCCCTCTGCATAGTGACCCCTCCTCTCGACTCACTCCCTTGGCTGCTTTTCCATGGCCCGGCATCGGTTCCTTGGGACTTGGCGCTGGGCGGCACCAGAAGTACTTGTCAGGAGTGGGAGGCTGTGACGACTGACCCAACACTTTGGAAATAAAAGCCAGTGCTTCGTTCTCTTAAAGGGACCAGGCTAAACTACTGTTGGTTCATGTAGTGAAGTTGAATTGCTATTCAGAGATGTTGATGCATATTTAACTTATTTAATGTATTTCATCTCATGTTTTCTTATTGTCACAAGATTATATAACATTGTGGCCTGAAAATCACCTGTGCTACCTAATGCCAGTGGGTGGAGCTGCGTTGCTGCCGGGGGGGCTGCGGCTCCTCTGTCTCTGGAGGTTCTGGGCTCCGCATTCGTTTGGAGATGTGGTCTATCTGCATGTTGGAGAAGGCTGCCAGGAAGAGTTTTCTGTATCAATAAGAAATAGCTAGCATCTGGAGGGGAGTTCTTAGTACCCACGGCTAGGTCCCCACTGCCCTCTTGAATGGGGAGGAGCAGCTGACCTTGTATGTCCTCTCACCTCTCCTCACGCACCTCCCACACTCTGCACACGTGCCCCGAGGCTGGCCCTGCCTTTCTTGAGTAGTCCTGGTTTGGGATCGGGGTGATCAGAGCCAGCAGGGGGCCGTGGGGAGGGGTGTGACTCTTGAGATGATGTGTGAAGTAGTGATTGAAAGCTTGACTAAATTAATTTTATGTGGTAAAAGACCAATCCAGTGCTGTTTGACTATGTAACATCTTAAAAAGGAAAAAAAAATTAAAATAAAGCCCCCAAATTAAAAGTTCTGTTGTCATTTTGTCACACTTGCTATATGGGGAAAATTAATATTTTAATGATCATTATTTTGTTATCGGAAGGTTGATTTTAAAATGAGCCCTGTCAATGAGAAATAGGTATATTTAATTATTTAAAAATATATACACACACATTTTTGGCTTCAACTGAGAGTGTATCAGTAAGACTGGCAGATCTTCAGTGGCTGGTCGCCCTTGCCCTTTGTCGCTTTGCTCTTAAGTAGAAAGAAACCTCCCGTCTGGGTCAAGGAGTCATGCACGAGACCCTAGCACAAAAAAACGCCCAGCTTGGCTCCAGAGTGTGGGTGAGTTTAAAAGACAAACTCACTGAAAGGAAGATAGTTCTTAGAAGTCATATGCCTTGAGTCACATTCCTCCTGAGCCTGGTTGGGACAGAGAGGCCTTAGGTTCTGGACCTGGTGGTCTGGTCAGGGACCTAGAGAGCGAGTTGAATTTTCTGCTTGGAGTAGTAGCTTTCTGTCTTCTTGAGCAGAAGTTTACTAGACATCTTGAGTTGTCACAGGCAGGTGTGCAGATCTGGTTCTCAGCCACATGCATATTGCTTGCATTACGTTGAGCATGCAGATGTGGAAGGATGCCTGTTAATGATAAGTCAGCCTCTGGTATGGTTTCCATGTGGACCCAGGTACTTACAGAAGGGAGTGAAAAGACTGAGTGTGAGGCATGTGCCTTCTGCCGTTTTTGCGAGTGGACTAGCGTTTGTGTAGGAGTTGCAGTGAATCCTTTCCCAGTCTTAAACCTCATGGCCTAGAGTGAGTGAGTCTGAGGAGGGCCTCAGACTGCCTGGGGGTGCAGTACAGTCCATTTCTGTAGAGCAGGGGTCTGCAGATGTGCTCTTTAAGGGTGTGGCTGTGTTCTGATGAAACTGTTCACAAAAACAGCAGGTGGGACTTGGCCTGGGAGGCTGGAGTTCGCTGCACTCGCAAGAGAGTGACCAAGTCCTTAAGAAGAGCGCCCGAGAAGCCGACCCCAAGGCTTGGCAGTGATTCAGTGTCTTCTGTACGTCTAGATGGGCTTCAGCTTTTCAGAGGATGTGGGCATTTTGTTTGTAGCTGAAAATCAAAATTCTAAATCCAAAGTTGTCTCTTCTTTCTAAGTAGTCATGCTATAAGACCTCTTCCCCTTTTAGAGGTTAGGACTTGGTGAACACATGGTGGTTTGTGGGGCTTTTGGACTTGTGGGAGAATGGGACTCCCTAGGGAGAGGAGGGTCCTGTGGCGAGAAGCCTGGCTAGGATGGAAGGCATCTGGTCAGTGGGGATGCGTGTGGAGCAGGTGCAGCTGGGGTCAGGGCTGCTGCCAGAGCCACACACTCAAGACCTCCGTCTAGGAGAAGTGGGTATATTCTGGATGTCTTTTTCTGGAGTGACAGAAGAGGGAAAAAAGAATAAGGCCGAGAGGTTTGATGTGCGGTCCTATCACGTGGTCTGTTTTGCCGTGAGAAGTTGAGAGTCATGTGATCAGAATAAACTGGCGTAGATGAGCCAGGGGGCAGCTGTCAGGGCACTGCCCTCGCCCCAGCTGCCTTGGCTACTTACTGGTTTATGGCACCTCTGAGAGCCACGTCCTTGTTCCAGAAACACCCGCCCCTGAGCTTGCAAATACATAAGAAACGTAAACAATAACTAGAGTCCTATACATTTTTGTGGGTTGAATTTTTTAATTGGTAACTTACGTTCCCATGGCACAATACAAAATACCTCTTAAAGACAGCAGGCTGTGTTGTTTGTAGATGTGAGGACATGGCTTTAATATTTTTTCTTCTACTTTGCATGTTTTTCCTCTGTAGTCTTCTAAATTGCTCTCACCAGCAGTAATAAATACTGGTAAAATCAAAATTGATTTATACCAGTGGACAGTTTATGCCTAGAGAGACAGCTTAGACCTACATAACACAGAAGGGGGAAAAATGAGGAACCTCCAGTGATCCGTGAAAACCTGAATGCTTTCAAACAAATCCCAGAAACAGAATTGCTATAGAAAGGTATCAGTGCTGAACTTGCAGGCTGTGTTGAGGCCGATATAACCGAATACAGTGATAGCTCAGAGTTAAATAGCCTTTCAAATTAATTTAAAAACAAGCTTAACGTTTGTGTGTGTGTGTGTGTGTGTGTGTGTGTGTGTGTGTGTGTGTGTGTGTAGCATATGTACCATATGTAAGTAGCTTAACCTTTTTCAAATGGTACCTATATTTTTTGCACTCACAAATCTTTGTATTTGCAAACTCAAACTCCATGCCAAAACACAATGCCGTTTGTCATTTTCAGTTCCTTCTCTAAAGAGCTGGCCTGCTGACAAGTTTCTGGTTATGGTTTGTTTGTGAAATTCTTGGTTTAAAAGAAGGAAAATAAGAAGGGATTTGGGCTTCAAAGTCACCGTGAACACTTGAATAACATTTAACCTCCAAGACCTCAGGTGAAGAGGCGTCTGCTCCCCCTGCTGGCAATGGTGGTTCACTGAGGGACAGACACCTCATGGGGCCATTGGTCCCTGACCAGCTCCCCTGCCCGTTGGGGTTGAACTTTCTGGTTAGGGGAGGAGGACTGAGTAAAACTGTGGAATTGTAGAAAGTCATTGCTCTGAGGAGTCGTATCTCAAGCTTGGGCCATGTTTGCTGATGTTAAAAGTGAATGCTTTCAAAGATCAGCAGAAGTTGAATTGTATTTAGAAAGTCCTCTGACAGTAGATGGATGGCTCCAGTTCACAGCATACAGATCTGGTCAGGCCCTCGATTACTCTCTTGTGCATAAAGGTCATCTTGGAGACCACACATGCCCCACGGAAGTCGGGGTCCCCCAGGATTTCCCTGGCCTGATTGGATTTGGAGAAGGCTTTTAAAAAACTGTTCTCAGACAGCTGCTGTGATAAGAACCTTGTAGAGGAAGTTGCTGTTAGGACCCTTGTGCTCTCTGCTCTGTGCTTGCTCATTGGACTTAATCTCACAACAACTGTGACCCAGGGGAGGCAGGCTCTATTTTGCACACGAGAAAATGAAGCCTCCAGGAGGTTAAATTGAGCAACTTTTCAGAACCTCTCATTTGGAGGTTAATCAATCTCTGAGAAGCCTGCTGTGAGGGCCTTAGTCGCTAAGACACTGGTTTGAGCTGCAGGAATCGCTCAGGAGCCCTGTGAGAGGCTCTAGTGAATCGACCTGCTGGCCATTTGCACACCTTTTATGTGTTTGGCCTTCATATCTTCTGCAGTTATTTTAAAGATGAAGTAGATAGAATCACGACTCTAATCCAGATGCTTTTTCTTTTTCTTTTTAAACTAAACACACTTCAGACAGTGAAGAAATGTGGGTTTTCCACTTTCTCATTGCCTTGTCTGCCCGGTGCTCCTGGGGAATGAATCTGGGGGCTTTGGAAAGAAAATTAGCAAGGCGATGATGAAGATGTTCTCTGTGGAGGCTTTATGTAACTTGTGAATTAAATGTGAAGCGAGGGCAGTTCATTAAAATTGGTATCACAGAAGTGGCCTGCCGAGGTTTAAAAACAGCCAGGCTGCCCGCCTCGGCCCTCTCCCTGAGTCAGCGCTGCAGTTCTCTGGGAAGTCGTCGAAGAGAGCGAGCAGTAGTGGACTGTGACAAGGAGCAGCAGCTGTGAGGCAGGTGTGGGGGCTCTGAAAGTGGGTCCAGCGAGAGTCACAAGCCCTTTCACTCTTGCCTCCAAGTCCCGACAGCTGCGTGCTTATTAGTACATGAGGCTCAGCCTCCGAGTGCTAGTTGGGGTGCTTGGGTCTGCCCACCCATGCCAGGGAACCCAGACTTCCCTCTGGGGGGAATTTTTAGCTGTATCTATGCCACTGAAAAATAAGGTTTCTTTTTAATTTATTTTTTGAAAAATGGAGAAGACAGGAACATTAACAGTTGTGTGTAATAGTTAAAAGTGAAACTGGTGGAGGGGGAGGAGAGGTTGTCTCAAGTAATATAATTCTGCTCTTTTTCTTAATGGAGTTATTAATTCATTAGAAAATGCATCAAATCTGTAGAAAAGGAAGAAAAAGCAAAAATATAGCTATTATCTAACTTGTCATAACTATTTGCAATTATGATACCTTGGAATGTTGCCACAATATGGATTGCTTTGATTAGAAGATGTCCGTTGAATGAAACAGTACCGTGGGATAATAGTTTTCTGCTGCTAGATAAATGCTAATGTTTATTTTTAATCCAGGAAACATTGATCCTGTGACTGTGCCCTATTACAATTACTTTATTATACCACAGGGTTGATGCATATTTAATCATTTGGCTAATGGCTGTGGGTGCAGGACGGACGCTCGCTCCCTGTCCTGCTCACCCGCTTGCATTCTGATGAACGCCACGAGCACAGCCAGCCTTCTCCAGGTAGAGCTGCTGCCCGCAGTTTCACTGCACTGATCCCAAAGCCCCGTGTCAGCCTGAAACAAAACAGGTTACCTTTTACTTCTTGTTTCCCTTTAATAAGTGTCAACCCAGGGAGACAAATCGGATACCTTAACACCATTTCATTAAGACCATGCTAACCAGAATGCATAGCTTTGTGATTTAAGAAGAAGATAAATTAGCATGCATGTTTCTCACATCCACTCATGGTTCTCCGTGAATGGGAAACCGTCTGGTTCTTTGTATGAACTGGCTACCTGCATTCGCATCTTGCTTTTGTATTTTACAAATAAACTCAGTTCAGCTGTTATCCTCTAGTGTGGCATTCATTTAAAAATGGTTTTTTTCCCATTGACTCTTTCACTTGGATTCAAAGGTAATTTATTGTTTGTAATACTGAGACCATGTGCACAAGAGCTGCCTCTTGCTTTTCATCATTCACTTTTTCGGCCAACATCAGTTTACCTTTGACATGTTAGAGAACTGTAGGAGATGCCGAGAAATCAATCAATGGGAGGGATTTGTTTTTCTGTTTTTCATTTGTGAACAGCCTCATAAGGTGATTCCAAGCTTATATGTAGAGAGAAAAATGCAAAATACATTTGGTTCTCATTTCTGTTGCTCGTTTCCTTTTTTAAGACAATTGATAAAACTGCTGCCATTCGGAACTTCCTACAAGAAACTCAAAATAATCAAAACGTTTCCCTTCGCCTCCTGTCCTCTCTGAGTAAAGACGCAGTTTCAGTGGCGCCTGCTCTTCCCACCCTGCTTTACGTCTTTCTCCATGTCTTTGAAAAAGATCTCTGTAGATTGTGGTGCATGTTTGTTTTCATTCTGACTTCAATGTACATTAACATTTTGGGGATTGAGTATTTTAAGAACTGTCTCAGAATGCTTTCGTTTTCATAATTCTCCTTCTATATATTTTAAGTTGTATTTCCTGTTTTGACATGGAACTCATTTAAAAAGTTGGTGCAGGAAAGGACTCTACCATCGTACATTGTGGTTATCTGATTTGTAATAAATCTATGGCTTTACGGCTGACTTCACAGTTCTTAGAGGGAAGGAGATGTCTTTCTGCAGTGTTGAAATCGAAAGAGCCATTCACAGCATGTTCTCACATGCTTCTGTGTGAGCCTGGTGGAACCGGCCCTGCTAAGGCATAAACTTTTGTACTAGCTGTCTCTGTATTATGTTCAATAAATTCTGTGCTCAGAATATATTTAAAGGATGCTTCAGTGTACGATTATTTTAAACGCATGACTTAAGAGTATTTAGATACGCTTTAGAGAACAGACTAGAGGCCATCACTCTACTCTTTCACTGCTTCTCAGGAACGTAAAATTGGTTTAAATGAAAAACCATAGATATTTTGTGCCAGAAAACAGACTTAAGGGATGACTTAAGGTCACCTTCCTCTTATTGCTGATGAGGAGACTTTTGCCCAGAGAGCTTTGACCCTAGGGACCGCGCCTGAATTCCCATTTTCCTGTTGGGGGAGACATTTGTCATTGATTTTACAGAGTCTTCCCTGGGGTAAGTTGCTTCCAAGTCTGCAATGTGGGGTGGCTTTTGTCTTCATGCAGTGGTTGAAAATTCTCCATTTTACTGTGCTGTCTTGTTAAGACTTCTTAACTCATTTTGGGAAAGTGATGCACTGCAAATGGTACAACTTCATGTAAGACCGCGGGATGGAGAGCGCCAAGCCCGGTGTTCTCCAAGCCCAACTCACTTCCCTTCTCCAGAGACTCCTGAATTCCCCATTTCACATTTGACTCTTCTCTGCGCATATGTCTGTGTGCATAGCCCTTGTGTTTTCTTGTGAGTCCCAGAGTAGGCCAGCCGCCCTGTCCTGTGTGTTGCTTTTGGACTTTGTAATATGTCTTGGAGATCATTTCATGCCTGCACACATCTTAATGGCTCTAAGTTTTCCTCTGTGAAGTGACCATAATTTACTCAACCAGCCTTCTATTGAGGTGTATGTATTTAAGTAGTTGCTAATCTTGCTGCTACAAACCCAACTACAGAAAATAGCCCTCTACACATGCAAGAATATCATGGGACAGTTCCTAGAAAAATGGTTGAGTCAGAGAAGGCCTGCACTTCAAGCTTCGGTAGATGACATGCACCTCGTCTCCAAGGAGAACATACCCACCCACAGTCACAGCACTACCTACTTCCCTGCTCCTTTGCCAGCACATTGCTTTGTCTAACTTGCTGATCTCTGCTCGTCTGAAAAGTTCATGCAGTTTCTTAGTTTTAATTTGCATGTTTGCATAAAGTTGAACATCTTTCCCTAAGTGTAAAGGCCATTTGAACACACTCAAGATCTGGAGTGAACTACGGTCAGAGGAAAAGGCTTACCACACCGGGCTGACTGCAGAAATGAAGACGAAGGGCATACCCTTATGAATGGGGAATGGGCGTCTACGTTATTTTACTAACAGGAAAATCACTTGCAGCAAGGAGTGTAGAAGTGTGTTGGGCAGGGGAAATAGGTAACCCTTTTTGGTCAACTAACTGAGCTCTGATTCTTCACTTTAATGAGTTGTAGCACATTCCCAGGAGTCCTTTTGACTGGTGTTCACAGAGGGTGCAAATAGGCAAATTGCAGCATCCCAGACAATGGGAGCTTTAAAAGGGACTGAAAAGGGTGGTGTCTCTCAAGGCTTAAAATCCAAGCTGGGAAATAGAGAAATTTTCTAAGGAAAACAAAAGAAGAAACCTCACTGGGCATTATCTTTTGTTAGTGCATTGGAAGGCAAAGCTACTACCTAAGAGGTTGCCGGCATTCTGTAATGGGAGGGACATGCCGATCAAAAATGGAAAATACCCTCAGAAACTGTACTTCAAGTCTAGGGTTCCAATTTTTTTCAAGTAGAACTTCTGTTTCTGTTTTCTTAGCAATGTTGGACCACTAAAATCACCTCAAAGAAGGAAGGAAATAGAATTTGGAGTAACACAAAATCAGTGTAACAGAGTTTTTGAAAAATGTACTTTTACACTACATCAAAAATGTTAGGAAAATATGTACAGAGGCAGGAGACTTTTAAAAATCAAGCCGAGACCAGAGCCCACTGTTCTGTTTTAACCCCACGCTTGCAGTCACATTGCTAGTCTTAAACATGACTCCGTAGCATAAACATTCCGTAACATTTATGTGAGTAATGATGAAACCCTCCAAGAGTTCCGCGCTGCTCCCGTGGGAGGAGGGGCTGGCAGCTGGAGCCTGTTGGGCCTCTGTTGTTACACTGAGGGTATTTTCTCTGGTGTTTCCCTCAATCTCAGACATTGAAGTGAGTCCATTTCGCACAGACTCTCAAATGTTCTCCCGTTTGCTGCTACTGCACCTCCCTGCCTCCACCACTCCTGTCCCCCAGAGAGTTTGAAGCCTTTTACCATCATCTGCCCTTTACTGGACTGGAAGCAATTTGAGGGAAATTCTAGGTTTTGTTGTTGGCTTTGGTTTCGCGGTATTTTTAATTATGTCTTTTTACCAAAGCATTTCATGTGCATAGTGTAAAAAACCAAATAGTTCTAACAGGCTCATAATGAAAACCAGCAGATCCTCATTGCCCTGGGCTTCCACTTACATGAGGCAGCCATTTTGCAGCTGCTGGTATTAACCGCTCTATTTCTGAATAATGTGGCTATATTCTTGATTTTTCACTTCTAGATCTTATCTGTTGATTTCCTTCTAAGGAAGATAAGGATTTAGCTCTGATACCCTTTCCCTCCACCTCATCCAAAGCGTGATCTTCACTCTCCCTCTCATAGTGTGTTTTCATAATTTTTGGCTTCACAAGTGTCTTTTGGCATGATAAAGATTTAAAAGATTGTTCCCAACTGTGCCTTGTAGTTCTATGATTATGTTTCCCTTTTATACATAACCACCTAACTGGCCCCAGAATTACTAAACCTCAGTGTTTTATCCACTTAGTTTCCTATGTATCTTTCATTACTTCAGTCCCAGATTCTGACAAAAGTGTAGATCTCTTTAGTGTGTTCATGCATCAGGAAATCTGTGATTTTTGTTTTTGGTTTTTTTCTTAGAAAGGCCACTCCTGGAGGGCTCCATTCTTCTGCTGTCTCCGGATCTGTTGCGCAGCTCTTGTTCTAGGAAGGCCCTTCACTCACTGTCATCTAGGGAACTCCCTTTGTTCTCTTTTGGGTTGGATACCCTGTTTTCTGGATCTCTAGCATCCTCTTTCTTGTTTTACTACATTATTTTTGTGGAGCACATCCTTTAGCAGGTTTCTGAGAAGGGAGTATATGGGAGATCATTTCTTTGAGAACTTAACATATATGAAAATGTTCCATTGGCCCCTCCCGCTTGACCAATAGTTATGCTGGGTATAAAAATCAAGGTTGGAAATCAATCTAAGGATTTTGAAAGCGTTCTTCACTGACTGCTAGCTTCTAGTGTTGCTCTTAACAAGTCCAGTATCATTTTAATTCCCAATCCTTTCTTTATTTCTGGGGAAATTCTTCACCTTTAATTTTCAACTTCTTCAAAATTTTTTTCCAGTTACTGTTATTTGTTTATAGTAACTACTCTTGTTAGATGTATAATATGTTTTTTTTCACTGAAAGCATTACAGTTCTTTTGTTGTTTTATAAGAGGGACTGAAAAATGTGGTGATCTTTCAAAGGTCAACACCCTCTTCACTGAGGATAGCAGTTCTTTCTGTTTGTTGTTTTATCCCCTGCATTATCTGCTACCTACAAGTCTTTTGGGACTAGGCTTATGCCTCTCATTTTGGAGGCATTCCCCAGATGCCTGGTAATCCTTGACTGTCCTTATGTATTTATGAGTGAAGCACTTAAAAGCTACTGGAAGCTGCACATATGTGAATGGGATTTGTTGAATGATGGGTTTCTGTAAAAATTAACTGGGTAGGGACCTGAGAGATACCTCCTTGGGGAATTTCTGGCTGTTAGTATCTGTGGTTGGTTTAGCTTGACCTCGTTTCCTTAGAGAGGAATTTTCTAGTCTCCAGCCTGGCAGCATAAGCCTGGCCACCATCTCAAGGAGAAAGAGGCTGTGAAACCGGTTTAATGTATGGGATATTATTTACTACCTGGATTAGCATGATACCTTGCCCTGGATGGTCTCCAAGTTCAAAGATCCCTTGAATACTTACTCATTTCTTACCAAGATTAGGGACAGGACCTGAGGGCAAAAGTCCATTTATGGTGTAAACTATTTATAGACTTTCATACAGTCCTGATTCCAACCCCACTGCACTCTTGCCTCTGAGGTGCCTTAGGCCCCCAACTCCTAAACCTCTGGGGCACAAGTGGACTTGCTTCGGAGTTCTTTCCCACTCCCTGCTGCCAACACTTTCCTTCTGCTTTCTGTGGTCTGCTGTCAGTGATGAGAGCAGAGCCCGTCAGCTTCTAGATTCCAGAATTTTGCTACCGTTTCTTCTTGACTGTCTTCTCATCTCCTGTTTGTCCATGTGCTTTTGTGCCTTTTTATTCTTTTCCCATAATTTATTGGGGCTTCAGAAGGAAGTAGAGGTAAAAGTATATGTTCCACCCAGCTACTTGAGTCCGAAGTCTGAGGGCCTTCCTTCCAAGGCGCCCAGTGTAGTACCTGGCGCATGTTGGGTGCTCAATACACTTATGTAGGTCATGATAAATCGACACAGAGGTAATGACCACCTAAAGTTTTTGTTCGTTTTTTTTTCCTCCTGAGGGATTAAAAAAATACAAAATGTAGGAATAAGGATGGTAGATTATCAATGAATAACCCCTGGGAAATAAATATGACATCACTGGAAAAAGACCCATCTTCACTGAGTTTGTTTAAAGCACTCCTTTTGATTCACTTACCAGTTGTGGTCTGTCCAGGTGTTAGGCTGGTTTGCTCCAGGAATCATCAGGTCTCAACTCATTTTACTGGGGAGTAAACTGAAGCCGGGGACGCCACAGCTAAGCATCTGCATGAAGCTGAGGGTCCCCTAGCCCCTGGCCTCTGTTGGTACCAGAAACCTGAGATGGACTCTCAAGGGAACCTGTGTCAGGCCCTGTGGCCCCCTCCTCCAGGACAACCCTTTCTAGAGAGTCTGGCCAGGAGAGAACTGGTGCCCTCACATTCACACTTCTGGGATCTGTTGTGCCTAACTTATCAAAAAAAGTAGCAACATCAAAATTCCAAGGTGGTATCTCAAGTATGTAGTTCTCATGTTGATGCTTGTGTTCGGAGCCTCCAACCCAGTACCCAGGGGGTTTATTCATTAACCAGTATTATGGACCTCCTACTCTGTGCCAGGCGCTGCTCCGCACACTGGGGATGCGATGGGGGACAGGACAGATGAGAGAGGAACTCATGTCCTAGAAGAGAGAGCTGACAGGAAACAAGGAAACTAAAAAACAGAGTATTTTCACATAATAATAAATGCTGTGGTAAAAGTAAAAGGGATGGTGCGGAGGAGGTGGAAAGGGGGCCAGGCAGCAGGCCCAGAAGCTTTGGTTAGTTCCCTGAAATATTGGCAGGTACCATACTCCCATTGTCACATGCACCTAGTGGGGGTAGGTGTGTGAGGAAGGCCTGGCTTCCAGTCACCTAAGGCTGTCAGGTTCGGACTGGAGGTCACGCCCTATAGTGGACAGGCCCCTCCCCAGTGGGCTCCGCTAATGGCCTTGAGGTGGCCTGTGCCATGGCCCTGGTGTTCTTCCCTCTGCTGCATCAGGAGGCTGCCGCCCTCCCGCCCCACCAGCCTCCCTCACCCTGAATCACCAGCCCCGGGAGGCCAGGGCTGCTCAGCAGAGCCCGCGTCATTGCTAAGCTGCTCTTTCTCCGGCCAGCAGCACCACTGGGAGATTAAACACATTCGCTTAGAAAAAGCAAAGAAATAACCTTTTGATAACTAGCATCTGTTAGCTAATGGGCCTCTGAGAGCTGTATACAATTTAAACTTTTTATTAAAAAAAAAAAAAAAAGCTCATTTACTCTCCTGGGAGCTTGCACTATGAAATTATAAACTGCACAGGTTTTTTTTTTTTTTCCTTTTAAACGTGACTGAACATACAATGGAGAACATTAATTTTGTTTTGTTTTGAACAAGAACTACAGGTTTCACTTCCGTCTTTTGATTACATGAGAGTACTATAAGGGGCAGAGAAAGGGGCCAGAGGCTGATGTCTGTGTGCCTCTCACCCCATCCCCTGAGTCCCCTCGGCCCCTTGGCCCCCAAAGTGGCCCCCTCCGTTTTTCAGCCTAGGGTCTGGAAAGCATGGCCTCTTGCCCAAGGGAAAGGGCCTGTTGTCCTTTTCCAGCCTTGATATTTGTCAGCATCGGCTGCTCTAGAACCCAGGAGCCCTGGAGGGGAGGGCACCTCGTGCCAAAGGAGCCAGGGACCTTCTCTCTTTCTCAACACATGCTCCCTAGTGAGAGCTCGGTCAGGCTAGGTCCCAAAAGCAGTTCTGAATTTCTTTCCCCAAATACCGTCAAGGAATCCCACGCCTGTCAGGGACACACTGAGATGGAGGCTCAGATCTCAGGCTCTGGGGCCCAGCTGCTGGTGGCCTCAGGCAAGCTCCTCTCCGTGCTGAGCCTCAGGGTCTGCAGGTGTAAGATGCGGAGGGCCACATCCCTTACCTGCACTGCAGAGCCTCCCGTGGGGGATACTGCACTTGGCACCCTGCAGCAACCCCGTCCCAGGTTCTGGTGTGAGGATTAGCTGGGATCAACATTTGTTTACTTGGCCATATTTACTGAGGTCCTCCATGTGAGGCGCATGGCAGAAGCTGCTGACAAAGGGCATAGGGACTGGCTCAGCCCTCCCCTTTCCCTGATGTATTCGTGGCAGAGGAGGCAGAAAATAAATGTGAATAGGTAAGATTTCAGACAGCGATCAAAGCTTATAAAGAACAAAAAGCAGTGGAGGGGATGGGCAAATGGGGGGACAGATGGAAAGGGAGTCTGCTGCTTTTGAGATGCTGATGGTGGGCCTCCCTGCAGAGGTGACATTTGGTCCGAGTCTTGAAAAGAAATAGCCAAGTTTCTGAGGATCTGGGGGGAGAGATGTTAGGCAGCAGAAATGGCATGTACAAAAGCCCTAAAGCAGGAAACAATTTGGTGTGATCAACAGAGGGAAGGCCAGTACAGCCGGGGTGAGGGGCGGTATGACTGGCCCTTGCCCACATCAGGGACTGTGATGTTGGGGCCTCACTCTGGTTGCACTGGTGGCTCCTGGAGAGTCTTAAACAGAGCAGGGCTGTGGCAGGCGCTGAAGGCATGTAACAAACAGGGAGAGCCGGAGTTTATCTCTACTGGTTTTATTCTCTTTCACTCATTCTCTGGAAGACATTTCACTTCCTTTCTTTAGAACCATAATCCCCGTGGTTGACTTTAATAACCAGGAAGAACATTTTTCAGGCTGTTCAATTTTATTAAAAGATTCAATTGTGATGATAAATGGTGGCACGGTTGCCTGAAGCCTCGGATACAAGACTTGCTCAGCCATGGACACATTATCCACACCCAACCTCATCCCCACCGGGAAGCCCACCCCCCATCCTGATGTAGTCTGTGACCGTAAATAATCTAATTACTTCTTGTACTTTGGTAAATATGCCAGGAACACTCATAGCTCTCTGAGACCCACAGAGAATATTAACGTGTTGGGTTTTTTGGTTTTTTTTTTTCAAGAAGAATGGGTAGATAAGTTAGAGCAGTTTCAGCGGGCTGATTGAACCCCACACAATCTAACGGAGAACAAGAGCTTCCCTCTGAAAGAATCATTAGCCTCACAGACAATTATTGTTCAAGATCTGTGATAAGATCCAGAGATGAGCATCGGGCAGAGGAAGGAGGGTGAATCATGGGCACACAGTCCCAGAAACCCTCGAGCCCACCAGGATGCCAGTTAACTTCTCAGTGTGCCCATGAGGCCCTGGGAACACAGGCATGGCCCCTGGCGAGGCACAGCCTGTCTGCACCTTGGTGGCAGCCACCCCTGAGCAGACACGTTGGCGCATTCGCACTGTGGCGAGCGGGCTGCCTCCTCCCGATGCTGCCCTGTAGCCCCACGACCCCGACCTCTCCCTGTGATGGTGCCAAAGACACACGCAGAGCTTCCTCTCCCTTCCTGTCAGTCAAGCACAGGGAATCTTGCAAGCAGAGGACGCTGACGCCGGGCTAATTACAGAGCGCGTTAGTGTTCCTGCTATCATTAGGATTAATTACTTTCCAAAGGCTGGAATGCTGCTTTCCTCCAAAGATCTGCCCCCAGCAGCCAGCCCGGCGCGCTGGTGTTCGGTGTGGGCAAGGGGGCCCTGCATCTCTGCTCGGATGGGGCCACCTGCACCCGCGTGCTGGCCCAGGAGGGCTGGGTTTATCCGCACGCAGTGTCGGCAGCTCGAGGCCCGACTCACAGAAACACAGGTAGGGCAGACAAATGCCAGCAGTCACAACTCAAGAAAGCGGAGGTGCCCCCAGAGAGATAAGCCCTCTGCCAGAGAGCTGAGAAGTTCTGAAAGCCCACAGCAGCATCTTTAATTCATGGCTCCGGCTCGAGTGTGTATTGCTAAACTAGAATTAATAATCTTTAAACACAACCCCAGGCATGGCAAAGCGGTGGCGGCATCGTGTGCAGAGCCCTGCTCCAATTTCATGACGTCCAGGGAGAGAAGGGGGTGCTGTCGGGCAGGGAGGCCCAGCGCGGTCCACCTCTGGTGCTGGGTCCGATCTGCCCTCTGAACTTGGGGGCGAGTGTTCAGAAGCTCAGGACAATTGACATGGCTGTGAAGCCCATGCTCCCGGCCAGGGCTCGAGTCACCTGCTGGCCGCCGGCCACCGTATGGACTTTGCAGGTGCCGTTGAACTCAGGCGCTGGGCCCCCTGGGGCACAGCTGAGCTGAGAGCAGTGGGCCATGTAACTGTCCCAGCCGAGCAGAGGGCAGAGCCGGCCCTGCTCAGACAGGTGGAGGGGTCTGTGCCAGAAGGGACCCTGGGGTCCGATGGGGGCCCCGAGGAGCTGTCCACAAGTCAAAGACCAATTTCATAGCTGCTTGAGGAAGGCCAGCCCTAGAATTAGCAGCAGGAAGGGGAGAGGGGCCTTTTGAGGACATGGAACCCCGCCACTGAGAGGCCTGTGCCCCAGGGACCCAGGGGAGTCCTGAACCAGCCCGTCACAGAGTACCAGGGGTGCTTGGTAGGAGGTGGGGCGCTTCTCGGGGGTGTCAGGACTTGACCCGTCAGTGGGCCGTTGTCCGATGAACAACAGGCTTTGCCCGAGAGGGTCTTGCTCCATCTTGAAAAGCTCATACTCCATGTGGGGCAGCCTGATGCCCAGCGGCAGGCACCCATTGGTGGCCGTGACATCCCGCTCGGTTCCCAGGGACCAGGCCCCCGGGCCCCCGCAGCTGCTTGGCTCCGAGAGGTTGAGCATGGCGGTGGTGACATGATCCATGGGGGTCACACGGGCCTGTGTGACCTGGAACACCAGCTCGGTGCCGCCGCGGACCTTGGTGGATGGCCTGCCCCTGGTGTAGTGCCCAGCCGCAGAGACAGTGAAGGTGGGCTGCTGGCAGGCAGGGTCGGAGAAGTGGCGGTAGTGCCCTTCCCAGGAGCGGCTGTGCCCGTGGAAGGTGAAGAGTCTGGTGAGGAACAGCACAGCAGGGCGCACCTCGCATGCAGGGCTGACCCACCGGCCGCCCAGGCGCAGGGGCAGTGCCGCCTGTGGGGGCAGCACCGGTGGGTGGTGCTCATCAGAGCGGGCAACGAGGCTGCAGGCCAGGCAGGGGCGAGTGTGGTGCTGGCAAAGGACAAACAGGAGCAGTGAGTGTCCTGGCGGGGAAACCAGGGCGCGGCCTGGAGTGGGGGTCTCAGGGCTGCCCCAGCTCTCCGTCGCCGCCTCCCCTCCGGCCTCAGGCCCAACGGCTGCTTTGCTGTCCTTGGCCCTCCATGAGGACCTCCCTGCTCTGGCCTCTGCACCCGCTGTCCCTTCCCCCTGCGCGCCTGGGCCCCCCACGTTGCCTGGTCAGCTCCTTCTCATCCTCCGGGTCTCAGTTCAGACACAGGCTTTACCCAGCCCTTGCTGGGCCACCCCGGCTGCAGTGGTCTGCAGCCCTTCCTGTTGCTCTTAGACCCGTCCCTCCCTGCCGCCTCTTCTCTCTACTCCCTCCCTTCAGTAGCTTTTAGCTCCAGAAAGCTGGGTGTCTCTCTGGGGCTACTTTGTTCCCAGATTGAATGATGGATGGGTGAATGAGAAGGAAAAGATGGTGCCTTATGTCCTGGGATTTGAAAGGGGCTGTCCTTTCCCACAGATGCCAGTTTGACCCTTCAAGTCCGTCATCTTTTTCCGTGCCCATTGTTAAACCCTCACCCCGCCTTTCACCCTTCTGTGTGCTTCCTAAGAGCTAAACCCTCCTCACGGACGCTTACATGCTGCAGCTGAGAAACGCTGAAGCTCAGGGGCAGGCAGCCTGCCGGCCCAGTGCAGGGGGCAGAGGAGAGGCCTTTTACCTTCAGAAATTTTACCTTGGAAGGTGAACGTCATTCCCTCACGCTGAGAAAGTGGATGTGGACCAAGGATGAAGAGCCTTTAAAGTACTCCTGCCCTTGGAACCACATGGCTTAGAATCTGTGCCAAGGAGATGGCTGAGGAGTTGCAGAGATACGGCACCAAGATGTTCGTTCCAGTGTTATTTACACCAGGGGAAGCCAGCCACCCTCGGGTTGTGAGGGACAGCCACTGTCCCAGGCTGTGAATGGCTTTCCTCTCTCTTTGGCCTTATTTACAGTTGTTCCTGCCTGACAGGATTTACAGTGAAACACCATCAGCAGGAAAACAGAGGCCAAATTAAACTGTGTGGGAGTAGTGAGTCTGCATTTGGAGTGAAAAAGCTCATAGAGGCCAAAAAGGAACCAGACACAGACAACTTCGCAGTGTTTGTTTTTTTTTTTTTAAAGGAAACTGTTGCCCGAATTCAGGCCAGAGCGTCACTCTGCAGGGTAAATGTCCCGGGAGCAAGTCCGTTGCAGAGCAAGGCTGGCGTGGGAACTCGCAAACATCCCCTGCTTTTGCCACCAGAAGGAGACTTTGGGTCAGGGCGCATGCGGGACAGGCAAGGGAGAAAAAGCTGTCCTGACAGCCCAGCCGGGGAATCAGCTTCAATATTTTTCTTTTCTTTTTTTTTGCAAAAAAACCCTAAAGATTTCCAGATTGCTTCTGGGGAAGTTTCATGCCAAACAAATGGCGTTTGGGAGTTCTGGTTTAGAAAGGAGATGGTGGATGGCTGAGAACAGGTTTTTCTTTTTTATATGGCCACATTATAAGCTCTTATTATTTATTTCTATGATGAACCTAAACTTGCCTTGATTTCCATAATATAGAAAAACTACATTGTTTTCGGTGTGGGGGCTTTTGATCCAGGGGACTCGAAGGCACTTTGAAATACTACAAATGGCTGTAAAAATGTTTGTGATGGAAAGAAGTGAACAAGGTGGCAGTTAGCTGGAGTGCTGGTGAGAGTCCACTCTAGTTCAGGCGTTTCAACCCGCATTCCAGCTGTTGTCACACTAATGTGTATTGACAGGACCTAATGCATGACATCAAAATAATCCCAGGGCTGCCCTCCTGCGCAAAAAGAGAGACCTTCTGCAGGCGGCCATTAGGAAAGCTAGTTGGTACGTGGGGGCGAGCGGTTTTCTACACAGCAGAAACAAATGGCGAACTAGCAAGCTTTTAGGGGGAGAGAAGAGAAAGAAAAGGTGTTTCTTTCTCTGATGCTTTTGATGGGGATGAAAGAAGGTACAAGTCTTTATCAAAAATCTCCCAGCATTATTCTGCAGAGGTCCAGGGCTGCATGCGTTAATAAACAAGGCCCCCAGCCAGCAGAATTCACACTTGTGTGAAAGCCAAACTCTTACTGGTTTAAACCTGTTACATAAAGTTATTTCTCAAACAGCACATAACAGAATTAACCCCCAGGGGTGACACCAGGCTCAGACGATTTTGGTCCAGTGTTGGCTAATTGATTAGGATTCTATATCCAGGCAATAAATTTGGGGATAAAATTGGTTTTAAATTAACTTCTAAAAATGTTCATGTTTACCATCTGGTTTGGGTCATGGGCAAGGCTTGGGCCCCAGAGCACGTAAGGTAACGACTCATTCATTACTTCAGGGTTTATCTGCAGCATTTCCTTCTTCGAAATTATCTTCCTTTTTTTATTCCAGGGAGGGGGGCAGTTGCTGAGCAGGCATTTAATTTAATGCCCATACATCCGGCAGGGCTCATCCAGGCTCACAGCCCTCTCGGTGCCTCTTCTCAGCCGCACTGCTGGTTGCAGTGGCCGCGCCGGCTGGTCGGGCGGCAGGAGGGCAGGAGCCCTCGTGCCCCAAAGCCCTGCCTGGGGAGACACGAAATTCCCTCCTCCCCCAGCCCCCCGTTCCTGGCAGCCATCTGCCTTTGCAGCAGCGTGCCCTCTTAATGAGGTAGTGGGCACTGGTGATCACCCCACTGCCAGCACCTTCTCTCTAGGATTAGCGTCAGACCAGCCTGGAACACTGACTGCCAAAAGGAATGATTTTGAGGTCATGAAGAGAGCTCAGGCTGATTGTCTGATGATGAGAACGTGTCCTTGTGCTTCTCGGCTACCCAGATCCTGGGCACGGAGGAGGGGGTGGAGCAGGACAAGGAGGGCACAGGGGCTCATCCCCAAGACCCAGGGGAGGGAAGCCGCCCATCCGATTTAGTTCCTTATGTGTCTTAGTGCAGAGCGGGCACTGGATACATGCTAAAAGATGTGAGGGGTGCCTAAGGGTTCAAAGAGCACTTGATAGGGATGCCTGGACCACCCACCCATCCATCCATCCATCCACCCATCCATCCATCCATCCATCATCACTTTTGAAAAATATTCCCTCTGTGTCTAGTCCAGACATCCTTAACTCAGCTCCTGCACCCCCACCCCCAGGGGCGGGGCACAGACTCACCAGGGCACTCTGCAGGGGCTGCTGGTAGCCGGTGGGCCGGTAGTGGTGCCGCTCTGTTGGGTCGGTATGGATGTCCCCCAGGTACAGCTCCTCCACGAGATGGGGCCCGGCCCTGGGCTGCCGCTGCAGGTGGCGCTGCATGCGGACCAGGCTGAGCTCATGCATGGTGAAGCCCAGGGCTGCTGTGCAGTCCCGCTCAGCCCGGGCACTCAGCAGCTCATACAGTGCCCCGGGCAGCCAGGCCCGAGCAGGGGGCAACTGCCAGGCACAATCCCGGCCAGCTTGGGTCTGGTTGAGGTGCCTGGCGATGTTGAGCAGAGCGTGGCGGTCGTGGAAGACGATGCCCACCTTGTGCAGCTGGTAGTCGGCCTCGGTGGCACCCTGGGTGATCCAGGAGGCCCGGCGCAGGCGGACCTTGCCCTTGATGAGCAGGGAGTGGGCAGGCTCCCGGCAGAAGGGGTCCCTGTAGTAGAACTGGTAGGCTCGGAAGAAGCGGTTGGGGTAGAAGGTGTAGGATCGGGCGAGGAACTCCGGCCCGGGGCGAACCTCGCAGCTGTGGGGTGGGAGAGAGAGGTGTGGCCAGGGAGGGGAGCCTGCACCTGGAGCCTCTCTCCCTCTGTGCTGTGCTCGCACTCCCACGGCCCCCATTTCAGGCCTCAGCTTGGGGGGTGGTCCCCCGCAGCCTCAGTTTCTCTGCTGGGCCACAGCCCCCCCACCCCCGTCCCTATTGGCCCCAGAAGCTCACAGGCTTTGCATCCAGAGGACCCAGGTCCACATCCCATTTCTGTCTTTCACCGGATTGTGAGTCTGGATAATGTCCCACTCTTTCCTCTGTAACATGGAGGGATCAGATCTATGGTCCGGGTTTCCGAGCCTCCAGCACCCTGGCGGCTCCTGGGAAGGGCTTAAGAAATGGGCTCTTCACACCCCTTGGGAGCCCTGTGCTGGGAGCTCCAGGAGGCAGGGTCCTGCCTGTTCCTTGCCCGTTGGATTCCTGGCACCTGGCCCAGAGCCCGGCACACCGCAGACCACCCCTGGGTCCTCAGTGAGTCCACTGTGGGTGGTGGGCACTTCCATTCCATCTCCCCTTTGCTAGGCTGACTTTTCCTGGCCAAGACTCAGTCGTGTCTGTGACAGGCTTGATCTAAACCAGGGGTCAGCCGACTTTTTCTGTAAAGGGTCAGATAACAAATGTTTCTGTTTTTGTGGGCCAGCTGGTCTCTGCTGCAAGGACTCAAGCCCATGGTTCTAGAGCTAACACAGCCGCCCACAGTATGTAAACGGTGAGTCTGGTTGTGTGCCAATAAAGCTTTATTTACAAAAATAGGCAGAGGGCTGGACCTGGCCCGCAGGCCCTCTTCTGCTAGTGACGAAAGCAAGCACAGAGTGGGACTGGGTGCAGAGGGGAACTAGGCGGCTCCCAGACCCTCAGTCACACTGGCTGGGCACAGGGGGGCCCTGGGGACTTTCCCATGGAGGGTTCAGATGGGCTCGCACGGTGGATGAGTTCTGGGGGAAAAGGGCAGGCAGGTGCCTTCCCAAATGTTATTCTCTGCGGGTACCCCCTGTGCTGATATTGGCTGGATCCTGTTCATGCCAGGGTTGCTGAAGTAGAGGAAATGTGTTCTCACCCAGCATGAAAACAACTGTCTTTCCTTTTTCTTTCAATCTTTCTATGTTAAGGAGAAAGTCTCCATGGGAGCTATCGTGTCTCTAACATCAACCTCCCTTTTTTCCCAAAGGGAACAAACTTGGGGCCTTATGCAAAGAATCTAGTGAGAATTTAATAATGTTGTTTTACTTTCATTGACTTTCTTTTCACCATTACCTCCTATTTATGGCAAGTGGCTATGCCCTCCATATCTTGGGTAATGTTACTCTTCTTTTAAAAATAATTATTGTGAACTATAAATGTGTGCAGTTTACTCTATATTAATCATACCTCAGTAAAGCTGTAAAAAAAATGAATATGTATAAGTAAACAAAGCAATGATAAAGAAAAACCATAAGGAGATACCAGTGCAGGTGGTCATTGAAAATGGGGAGAGGCAGGTCCCACATTCGGGGCTGGGCCACAGCCCTCTGCTCACCCGGTCTCGGCAGAGGCTGGGGACGGGGAGATCTGCCTACGGGAACACGGCAGGCCAAAACGGGCAGCTCGGTGGCGCCCACACTCTAGATCCTTCCCTGCACTACTCCTAGGAAGCAGCAAAGCCTGTCTAGAGAGTAAGAAGGGGAACTTTCTAGGAAGAAAGTTCTAGAAGTTTCCAGAAGCACTGTTCTGTAATGCTGTCGTCTTGGGGCAGGGGCAGCCTGCAACCAGTCCCTACTCTGCCCATGTCCCAGTTCTCTCTCAGAGAGACCCTGGCCAGTGCCACCTGGGTCCCACCTGGACTGTGGAGTCGGGGAGGGGGCAGAGGCGGGGAATGCACCCCAAGTGGTTGGCAGAGCTCACCTCCTCTCCCTCCACCCGAGCACTGGCAGATATTCAGCCGTTGGGTTTCTCCCTGACCTTGGGAGGGTCGTGGAGGTCATGGAGAGTCCGGTCCCAGACCCAGGGGAGTGAGAAATGGGGATAGTTGAGGAGGAAGGGATGTGCTCGTTGTGGGGGGCACCTCTGCCTCCCTTCTCCCCTGACCCCACCCCAGGAGGGGGAACTCAGCTGGGTGCTATCGAGTTTGTGCCCCTTACACGAGGGCAGAACACAGAGCCCAATGCACCGGAGCAGCAGCAGGGCCTCTGAAATGTCAGGTGAGCCTGTCAGGTTAGAAAGAGAATTAGACGGGCAAGCAGGACACCCGGGCCCTCTCTGGTCTGCTCTTTCCTGCCCCAGGACCTTTCCACCAGCCGCTCCCTCTGCTTGGCTCTTCCCTTGGCTCTCTGGATGGCTGACTCCTCTTCTTTCAGCTCGCAGCTGAGTGTTACCACCTCCGAGCAGCCTTCCCTGACCACTCTCAAAAGAACCCACCCAGGTCACTCATCATCACCTCTTTGCTTTCGTTTCCTTCATTACCGAGCTCACACCATCTCTGGTTTATGTCACTTATTTCTTTGTCAGCATGCTCAGCTCATCGTGTCCCCTATACCTGGTGCACAGTATGTGCTCAGTGTCCTGAACAGATAGCTTTCATCCATTTTCTGTTTGTGGTTGAGGCATGAGGCCCAGTACATCCCCTGCCTCCCAGGCTCACTCTGTGGAGGGGGGACAAGCAAAGCCATGTGCTTGGCAGGTAGCCTGCCTCTTGGACAACTGGATGAGTTGTGCCCATTTCACAGAGGTGGACATGGGGGCTCAGAGAGGCTGGAGTCTCTCAGCCTGGGAGCCTATGATCAGGGTGACCTTGGGGTCTTACCCAGTAGAGATCCAGAGCCCGTCAAGGCGCGGGGGCAGCACTGCAGTGATAGGTGCTTGGTTAGGCAGGGGCTGCTGGCAGTGGGATTCCCAGCGCAGGTGGCTGCCCTCTGCCACCGCAGCCGCCTCCGTGGTGCAGGCTGCAAAGCAGACAGACCTGGGTTAGTTATCCAGGCACGCCCAGGCACTCCCTCTGCCCTTCCCACCTGACCTGGGCCAGCCCAGGGGGCAGCTGAGAATCAGGCAGGGCCTGACTGCACCTCACCTGCCCCCTGGCCCTCCCCGGGGCGCCCCAACTCCCTCTGGCTGCACCCAAACCAGGGTGCCTAGAATCAGCCTCCCGGCTCACCTCCTCCTTGATTCCCAGGTGTGTCCACCATGAATCCGAGCCTCCTGGGGGTACTGTCCCAAATTCCTGGGCCAGGAATCCTCCAAGAGGATTTCTGTGCTGAGCCAGAGTCCTGGGAGCCGGGGCCATCTGCAACCTGGCCTGCTGTGGACAGGAGCCGCCCCGTGCTGGCTGCGAGCGCCTGCACTCCCGGCTGGGGCACCGCACACTGAGCCTGAGGGGCTGCGGGGCGACTGCCCCCCGCCCCACCAGGGGGCCCAGGTGCTGCCTGACCTGTGCCGCACAGAGCAGGCCAGACCTACTGCCTGCCCGCCGAGGCCTTGTCCCATGCACCCTCCTCGGTGCCAGGCCCATGTTGCCACCCCCGCATCCGTGGGACCCAGGCCCACACCTGGCACATGAAGGACGCTCCGTAAACGAGTGGTGGGTGCTGGGGCTGATGCACGGGGCCAGTGGCGGGGCCAGGGGGAGCTGGAGGCCTCAGGGAAGGGCAGCCCAGGGCCCCAGGCCCCCCTAAGTGACCTCTTGGTATGCTCATCTTGTGGAGACAAGCCAGGCCTGGCCATGAACCTGTTTGCAATCTCTTGGAAGACCTGAGAGGCACCGGGACCTTCTGCTGCTAAAGAGCAGCAATCCCCCCGAAACTCTCGCCTCCACCCAGAGGGCTGGGCTTGACACAACCCCGACGGCGGATGTATGGGAAGCTTGGTGGCGATCTGCACGCAAGTATCACGGCAGTGGGCTCTGCTCATGGAGGCTGGCCAGCCCCTTCAGCTGGGCTTTCCAACGGCACTTTTACCCACTGAGCCTGTGGCCCAAGTGGGTCAGGGGGTGAGCTGAGGCAAGGTGGGCCTCTGTGGAGACACTGGCTAGCCCAGGGAGCCAGGCCCTTGGGGTCTGGGATGCCCTGAAGGCTTGGGGGCTAAGTGGAGAAACGAGCGAATGGCGTGTTCTGTCCCCTTACCCAGTGCTCCGTCCACCGTCCATCTCGGGCTCAGGAACTGCAGCGTGGCCAGGGAAGGTCTAGGGAGGCCTGGGGTCCCCACACTGCCCCTCTGCAGCTGTTTTATGGGGCAAGTGGCCCCCAAACTCTCTGCGTCCCAGCAGCCTCTCAGAAAAATGAGGCATTGTGGATTCCTCACTCCCTGGGGGCCCCGGGGAGCAGCTGAGAAGGCAGGAGTGGCATGATGGTCATGATGGTGAGGACCTGGTGGTTCCTGTTAATCAAGTACCCGCTCTGTGCATTCCTGCCCAACCTCCCCAATGGCACTAGGAGATGGGTGTTGGCGTCAGCGGCTTCCTGTGGGTGGAGAACCAGGCTCCACATGGGGACGGCTTACCACTTCCCAAGCGGTACACACGGGGGCACACGCTTCCCAAGGGTGACAGAGCCCAGGTTTTTGGCCCCTGGCCTGATGGCTTAACCGTTGCCTATCTTGCAAGGGACAGGGGCTGTTTTCAAGACTTGGAGGAGTGCAGGGCACTCAGCAGACACGGGCTGAATGAATGGGTGGATGAATGACTGGAAGGCCAGTCGAGCACTGGAGCCCTGCCGGATTCTTGGTTTGTCCTATGACTGATGTACTGGTTTTAACCAGCTAAATAAGAGAGATGAGAACAGCTAACCAACCAGCCAGGTTTCAGATGGCCTCACGCAGCCATGTGGGCACTCAGGTGCCCCCAGAGTTGGGGCCACTCTACAGGGTGGGCAGTACCGAGGGAGGCTTGAGAGAGAAGCTTGCAGTGGTTCTGTGTTAACTTGGGCACATCTAATTTTTCGGGGACCAGCCCCAGGATGCTGTGGTGTGTGGGGAAGTGTCAAAGCTGGACCAGCCTAATGCCTTTGGGAATCCTGGGCTGGGACTCACACACATCACCGTCACATCGTGAGCCTCCCCACTCATGCGGCCGCAGCTCTGGGGAGGTGCTCGGTCCCCCGGATTCAATGCTGGGGGTTAATTGAACTTCACCAGTGTCCACCAAACCTGTCTGGAAGTGTCGGTTTGGAGGATGGATGAAACTGGGGCTGTCAGCATTATTTGCCTGGTGGGAAAGGCAAGCTTACATCTCAGAGCAAAATTGTGAATGAGCCCTAAAAATTATATTGGCGTTGTCTCCTCAAAGCTCTGTTTCTTAAGGAAATGTTTTCTGAAGTCACCAAGCAGAGATGGCCTGCAGCGTTGTATTTTGTCATGAATCCTCAGGCAGTGTGTTCCCACTAAGTGTGTTTCAGTTTGTTTTGTGTTTCCGTGAGAAAATCATATTTAATTAAGTCAGGAGACTACGTGAGACATGGTGAGATCTCACGGTATTCAGAACATGCACACCCCAAACATAAAACACGACAGGAGACCTTCTTTGTGACAACGGAGTGGGGCATAACATCCCCTCTCGACTGTTCTTGAAGTTTCAACTTCAAGGTTGCAAAACTTAAATTGACCGATTATAAATGAATACATGAAATTTCTCCAGTTGTAGCTTTTGAGGCAGACTTGTTTTCCTTTTCTTTCTCTCTCTTTTTCTCCCTTAGAAATGTCTCAACAAAAGGGGCAACAGCTGAAAGCAGATGGTGCTGGGGGCCGGGGTTCACACCTTTTCGCAGGGACCTGATAGACTGAGTTAAATGCATGGGCCAAACTGATTTTTATCAACCATGGATTTTTAATTAACAGTGGTGTCCACTTACCGCCATCCATTATTTACTGTTTACCCACTAATTAAAAATTATGCTGCTTTTGCACTCATAAGAGCAGGGACATTTGAAATTAGATAGCATCGTTCAAATTACCTGCAGAATTAAATCTGGAGCATCCAAATGCTCAGACCAGGCTACTGGGGTTTAAAATATGAGCTGCTCCAGCCCGTGTGTTCTCGGGAGTTAGAATGGACGGAACAGGCTTCATGGTGAGCACTGTATGGAACCTGCCTGCGGCCTTCAGGGGGAAGGACACTTGCTGAGCCTCCCCCACTTGTGGCCACCTGGCTGACATTGACTTGAGACCCGCTGCTCTGTATTATGATGGGGAGCCCTCCCAGCGGTCCCGGGGTCGGCAGCCTGTCAGTGAATCGATGGAACGCCTCCAGTGCCAGCCATTCCTGTGGACCGACAGGTGTCCTCTGCCCAGCCACCCAGGACACAAGTTCCATCAACACGTCCACTTTGCAGACGATGAAACTGAGGTTCATGGGATGGAATACTTGGTTGGTGTCACTCCAGACAGATGCTTCTTACCCAATTAGAAAACAAATATTGCTAAAATACACCTAACATAAAAGTCACCATTTTAGCCATTTTGAAGTGTACAAGTAAAATCCAGCAGCACTGGAGGACGCTGGTCATGCTGCACAACCATCAGCACTGTCTAGTTCCAGAACATTTTCATCCCCTGCAAAAGAAATCCATATGCAGGAGTCATTCCCCCATCCTGCCCACCTTGCAAACCCTGGCAGCCACAAATCTGCTTTCTGTCTCTATGGAGGTACCCATTCTGGACATTGCATAGGCATGGAATAAAAGATGCACTTCCCTTTCTTATCTACTCTTCACAACACTTCTGTTAGGTGGATGCAGTTATCCTCATTTTACAGATAAAAAATAGAGGCTTAGAGAAGTTTTGTCCCCAGGTCCACACTCCACATCTTCTTTATGGATTATGAGAAGAGTGGGTAGGAATCAGAAGGGGAGGAGAGTGGAGAAAAAATGTGGGGCTTGTAGCCAGAACAGATGGAGAAATATCAGGTATCTATCTTTGGGGGCAAAAAGAAAAAGGTGTTGTTTTTTCCTACCCTAATTGGCATGTTCCAAAGTTCCAGGAGGCGTGCCGAGTGATTTGGGGTGCAATGGTGAGCATTTCTCATTCCAGTGGTTACGCATTGATTTTAGAGGGTGGTAAAAGCAGCCACAGTTACCGTAGCAAATGAGTGCTTTCCTAGACTGCATTGCCCAGGACAAGACTGAGTTTTAAAAGGGGGTTGGTCTGAACTTGATTTTAAAGTATTACGTAAAACTCTAAGTAGGTATGATTTAATAAGTAAGTGTATGTGGGCTCACGGCTGTAGAAAATAACCTGGGGATGAAGGGAGCAGACAGGGGGTGAAGTTATCCCTCCACCTCAAGAATGCAGTAGGAGAATGGCTGTGCGTCCCGGGAGGCTGCAACAGAGACCACAGACTGGGTGACTTAGAGCAACAGGACCCCGTCTCTCATAACCTGAAGGGCAGAAATCTGAAATCAATGTATGGGATGGTGGCTTTCTCCTGAGGCTCTAGGGGAGGGTCCTGCCTCTTTTGGTTCCTGGTGGCTCCAGACATTCTTGGCAGGCGCCTGTGTCACTCCAGTCTCTGCCTCCGTCTCCACATGGCTGTCTTCTGTGTGCCTACATGTCTGTGCCCACATCTCCCTCTCCTTTCTCTGATGGAGACGCCAGTCACTGGATTAGGTCGGGCACATACGAGCCCATCATAACCTCAGTTTAACTTGATCACATGTGCAAAGATCCTGCTTCCAGATAAGACCATATTCACAGGTGCCAGGGCTTAAGATTCAGACATACCTTTTTGGGGACACAGTTCAACCCATAACAGGTACCGAGGGGCATCCGAAGTCCGCAGCCTGACCTCTCTTCCTTGGGGCCGTCACCCATGCACACACACTGAATGGCTCCTGTAGGTCTTCATAAAGTTGCTCGAGAGGGCTGGAGTGCCTGTTATCTTGGAGAGGCTGGTGTTAATCTAATAGGCCCACTATGGATTATAATTTCAAAGAATCACAAGTGTGTCAAAGGAAATTTA